AAGAAGTTTATTCTTCGCCTATTCAATCAGAGCAACATTTGAGAAATCGTATCGTAGCTGCAGCGAACAGAATATCGCAAGAACAGTGCCTGGCTGCTACAAGAGCCGTGTTTGACAGATGCAATGCTTGTATTGCTGCAAGAGGTGCACATTTCGAACAAAATCTTCATTAAAAAGTTTATAAATAAAATAATTAAAATAATAAATTAAATATATTTTTTTCTTTTTTCGTGATTTCCTGCGAAACAAAGCAAAAAGGAGCATATGTCTATAGGACTTTTTTTCTTAGTTTTTTACTCCTCTACACGCTCCCGAAGTTTTGCCATTTAATTTGGAAACACCCTGTATATATAAATTGTATATTGTATATACAAGAATAAATAATTTTGTATTATTTTTATATCTATTTAATATAAATAAAGCAAAACTTTTACATCTTAAGCATGTTGTCTATATTTGGCAGACAATGAAATGATTTTTATTAATAAACATAATAAAAATTTTTTATGCATAGCGGAATACATTTTTATACGTATACGTACATATGTTTCAAAATAAAAATTGCTATAACCTTTAAAGTGACAAAAAAAAATACCGTTAAATAATAATTTAACAGTACCTTGATTTGCAATACTTGCTAGTATTAATGCAATAACATCGATGACGCAGAAAATTTTGTGCATTCTCACAGGTGCATTTAAGTATCTCATAAAGCATTTCGATGGTACTGGATATTCTAGCATAGTATCCTTTGTTATGTTGACATGCTTGTATTCATTCAGAATAGCGTTTAGTCCATACATTATGGAACTAAAACAACCGAAGCCCAAAACTAAACAACAGAGGGTCCTTCCCATAAAAGCATGTTTCCTCATGATAGCACGCTCTTTTATGTTTTCAATTGTCAAATAATCCTCCATAACAGATCTATAATTTGTAGCCAAATTTTTTGCGTAAATGCGAAACCATATCGCCTTCAGCACACCAAGTATTGCGCAACAGATTAACATGAGACAATCTACGCTTGTCTCCGCGTCAGTGCAGCCCAAATAAACCTCGAAACTAGATTTGATAAGCATGAAGGCCTATTGACATATTTTTATATAATATAATATCTAATAGACATTAGTATACGTTATCTTCGAAGGATCGTGCGTCACTGATCATTGAGGCAGAATTCTCAAGATGCATACCGGACCAGAAATGCCTACGACATATCGTATCAGCGAATAAATATTATGAACTTGAAATGGCCAGATACCAATGGACCACGCTACCAATTTAAAAGGGGTTATCGCGTATGCGACATCGTCCTTCCATCGTTCACTAGCCATTGGGTTAAAGTAATGACTGTAACTGCTATCAATAACCGGTGATATGTTCGATAACGTCCATCTATGTTCCGGCTCTGCTCATTTTTTATTCATTTTGAAACCTATATTAGCCTACCTCTATGCTCTTAACATTATCGCAGAATATAGAGAACTGTGTTGCGCAAAATTTGCTTTATAAGAACTTATATGTTTTTTTTAGTCATCACACTTATCGAATGATTGCTTCCTGCTCTCGTATATGAATTGTCAAGAAAAGAACTTTATCTCTCGTACTATGTGCATTCTGAGTTTCGATCATATTATGTTTTATTTTGTCTTAGTTTCTTTATATCATTTTGAATATGAATGTTGTGGATTTACTTCTTCTGAACATGAAAATATTGTGCGGATTAATAGATTTTTTAATTCTAATAATAAAATTAATTTTATGTATATCTCAATAATTTTATATACTCTTTGATAAAATATCTGTGTCAAATAAAAAAAATTAATTTTAGACATAAATACATTTATAAGGTGATTTTTACAACTAAACTTTTCCATTCATAAAATTTTATCATGGAATATTAGCCTGTTTCTTAAGGAAATTCTAAATAATGATCTTTTCAAATAATTTGTTTGTTTGTAATATTTTTTTAAGAATATTAGTTTACATAGTACACAAATTAAAAAATTAATATCACTATATATATTGGCCTAAAATTTTGCACAGCTTTTTCTAAATAATGTGTGATATATGATACATAAGAGATATTATTTGTCGCGAGCATTATTTATCCTTTTTTAACATTTAATAAACAACAAGAATAAAATAATTTCATGAGCGTTGCGAGCGTCAAGTGGAATGCACCCTTAGTTACGGTAATTTTATCAATTAAGTTGATGAAGCAGTTGGCTGGACAAGCCAACTCTTACTGATTCCACGTCAAGCGTGGAAATTCTCGAAGAATTTCCACCTCCTCCTCCTCTGCGCAACTGATTTTCTATTTATCCTGATGATACCTTCGACTCGGTGATTAACCGTTTCGATCGCACCACCGATCCTCTCCCGCAGGGCACCTACACCATCGGCCCTGACTATTTCGATCTCGAGGAAATCCGAGCTGCCATAGCCGGACAACCTCCTGGAACTCACATTCTAGTGTTCATTCCCAGTTCCCCCTTTCCTTATCTAGTCCCGATCGACCTTTTCAATGACCTCTTCCCTCCTTCCACTGTCATAATTAGAGAAATTCAATAAATCAACATGTATCGCCTCACCGCTCATATAGAAATATAGACTCACGCTCGTCCTATGTCAACATTCTCTAGCGGTACAAATGTTCTTATTCTTTTATAACCAGCCAGCGATTTTTGCAATCATTTATTGTAACATGTAGATAACCGAGTTTCATTTATTCTAACATGAATATAAAATTAATTTTTACATTAATCTATAGAAATAATTTATTACTTCTAAGCGCGTATAGTTAAACTGTAATTTATGTTTAGCAATAAATTAGAACATTGTTAAGATGATTGCTACCCTTTCATTTTAAAACTCAAAAACGACCTCGAACTTCATCACCTTTCAGAAATCGCACGTAGTCCAGTCCCGAGTTACAAGGATTAGGTTCCTTGACTCGAAATTAGAACCAACGTACGCCCTGCTCGTAGGAAACAGGTGTTATAGCGTCCCTTCGGGACGTTAACCCATATTCCGGAGCGATAAGAAGTGCGTCCGACTCTCAGGTATTCGCCTCTGCGCGTATACCTGTGAGATAAAGTCTGCACGTCCTTCCATATCTTCTCCATCTCCATCCTTGTCTCTCCCATTCGATATCTAATTTCCAAGGGCTTGGACGTAACAGTATCAATACATTTTTTCTTTTATAAATTCAAATTATCATTCATATAAATTATATATTTATAATTTGTAAAATTATCTTTTTACTTGTATTATATAGTATGTTGTATTTCACATCTTTACCATTACACGAAGTACAGATAAATACGAAAGAGATGATTTTAGGATGCTTACGTAAGTTGTCAAATTTACCACGATAAAATTTCCAGCTTGCAAGGTGACTGGAGAATCTGAACACATAATAATGAATATCATATGTCTCGTTAGCTTTGCAGGAAAATTGTACCAACTGCTTTGATAAATAGAAAGCCCTATTTCCTCCATTTCGGATTTTAAATAATCGCCAATAACACTATATAAAGTTAACTGTGTTATAAAAGTACTTTGTACCATTATATTTTTTGTAATTAAAACAACGTTGTTTTCACCTAGTTGTAAAATAAGTTGAAATCCTGAAAAAAAATTTTTTTTATATAAATTTATATATCATAATATGATTTGCAAAATAATTATAAGTAATATATCATTCACACACCCATTATGCACAAAAGAATACTGATAATAAATAATTCTATCAGCAAAACGAAACTAATCATTTCGGCAAGTTCTCTGGCCAGTTTTATTAAGTATTTATGCCTTTCAATTAGTACGTTGAAACGATCGTAGATATGCGGCTCTTTGACATCAAAATCAAGGAAATTGGCTCTCAGAATTTTCATTTGACCGCAAATGTGCAATGTAGCATTCAGAAACAAAGCGTCGTTACCTTTTAATCATTAAAGAAAATGATACAGCCTATAGTAACACACTAATAAATATGCAGAACGATGTTAATACTTTTTTAATATACATAAAGCAAAACTTCCATGCTTTAACAATGTTGTCTAAGTTAACACAATGAAAGTATTTGCATTAATAAACATAATAAAAATTTCTTACACTGAAAAAAAATGCTGTTGATTCAATTAAAATCTATATTACGGGCTGTCACTAGCATAAGTGATTAATTTATGTATATTTTTATTGACATAAAGGCCATGATTATTGAAATAATAATTTATGTCTTTATGTCAATAAAAATATACATAAATTAATCACTTATGCTAGTGACAGCCCGTAATATAGACTTTAATTGAATCAACAGCATTTTTTTCTCAGTGTATGTATAGAATGTACTTATATGTACGTAATATGCATATGTGCATTTTAAAATAAACATTGTTAATATCTTCAAAGATTAAATACAACGAAAAAATAAAAAGACGTCAAATAACATGCTGACAATACCATGATTAGTAGTACTCGCTAGTATTAATGCAATAACTTCGACGAGGCAAAAGATTTTATGCATGCTTACTGGAGCATTTAAGAACTTCATAAAGCATTTCGATGGTACTGGATACTCTAGCATGGTATCCTTTGTTATATTGACATGCTTGTATTCATTCAGAATAGCAATTAGTCCATACATTATAGAACTAAAGTAAGCAAAGCCCAAAATAAAACAGCACAGAGTTCTTCCCATAAAAGTATGTTTCCGCATGATGGCACGTTCTTTTGTATCTTTAATTGTCAAATAATCATTCATGGCAGAGCTATAATTGTTAGCCAAATTTCTTGCGTAAATGCGAAACCATAATATCTTTAACACACCAAGTATTCCACAAAAGATTAACATGAGACAATCAATGCTTGTCTCCGCGTCAGTGCAGCCCAAATAAATCTCGAAACAAGGTACGACAATCATAAGGACCTATTGACACGTCTTCATATAATAAAATATCAAATAAACATTAGTTTATGTTGTCCTCAAAAAATCGTATGTTATTGATCATCGAGGTTATACTCAGAAAGTACATACCGCCGAAGAGAGGCCAAAGACATATCGTATCAATGAATAAGCGTTACTAACTTGAAGTGGCCAGATACCAATGGACCACGCTACCAATTTAAAGGGGGTTATCGCATATGCGACATCGTCTTTCCATCGTTCACTTGCCATTGGGTTAAGGTAATGACTGTAACTGTTACCAATAACCGATGATGTGTTCGGTATAACGTCCATCTGTGTTTCGGCTTATTTTTTATTCATCTTGAAAACCTATACCAGCCTGCCACTATGCTCTTAACACATTATCATAAAATATAGAGAATTATGTTATTATACCCATAACTGTTGCTCAATAAGAATTTGTGAGAGTATATTTTGTTAGCTGTTGCTTAACGATCGTTTCATGCTATAATCATGCATGAAATGTCTAGAGAAACTTCATCTCCTGCTTATACTACCCTTATACTACGTTATAGTTCTGTATTACATTTTATTTCGTCTAGATAATCTTTATATCATTTCAACTGTGAATGTTGTAGAATTAGTTCTTTTGGGCATAAAGATATACAGTATGGATGAGTAGATTATTTTTTAAATTTTGTTCTATATATTCACATTACGAAAACTAGTTAAAGAATATTATACGCTACAAGTAAGTAATTTTATATATTAATAACTTTATATATACTTAGACAAAATTTCTTTGTCAAAACAAATATAAAAATTAATTTTAGACAGAGATATATTTGTCAGATGTTTTCTACAATTAAATTTATCTATAATATTTACAGAATTTTATCACAAGATGTGTGATCTTATAATAGTTACGAAAAAAATTTTAAGGAATTTTCGAATAATTACAATAGTTTGCTTGTAATGTTCTTCTAAGAATGTTAAATTTTTATGCAATGTAAATTAATTGTCAATATTATACATTATATGTCCTGTTTTACAATTATATATGTAATTGTCTGAGGTGTTGACTAAATTGTTTATTTACTTAAATCTTCCTGAAATCATTTTATTATCTAATTATTTTACACATGATGTAGATAAATGTCTGAGAACAATTTTATAGTAAAACAATTATATTAAACATTTTTAAAAAAATGTCTTGAATAGTTTTTTAAATATGAAATTTTACTCAAAAAGAGTGAAAAATGTCATTTTTTTAAGAAGTGAAATATTTTCTTTGTTCTCAAAAAATGGCCGTATTTTCACTCTGTTAGAGTGAGATTTTACTTCAAGAAATTTAGAGAGAGAAAGAGAGTAGATTAAACATGAATTAATTAAAAGTTGTATAATTTCTTAAAAAAATTAATTATTCCTGAAATTTTAAAAAATTTTAAATTAATTGCAAAAATTGTTATTATTCTTTAATTACCATGTGCATTTAATTGAATATACATCTATATGTGAATTCAGAACGATACATGTTTCAACTTATATACGTATCATTTACAAAACACATGTATATACATATAATATTATATTTACTATCGTTTAAGTAAGGGAAACTAATTGCGGTCAAAGCTAGATGTTGGAATAATTAATAAAGTTATTATTAATGTAATATTAATTTGCTTTTTGACATCTAAATGTGCATTTACAATGCTATTATAGAAATAATTTTTTTAGGGACTTACATAACAATCCTCGTATATTTTACTCCCTTCTCACACAATTTTTACGTATTAAATAATCAATTAAAGACTTTATTACAAAGTTAATAAAATAAGATTTAAAATTGAATATTAAAATTAAAATTATACACGGTGTCCAGTATGTTTTGACAAAGCATTCGTGTGTGAATGGAGCGGACTAAAGTAAGTCGAAAAATCTTTTGCTATTTTGCAATTTCCATAATCTTAAAAATTATTAATTGAAAACTATAAGAATCAGTATGTTCTGAGTACATTTTCAACATTTTACATGCTTACAATTATTATTCTTATATAATAATAACAATGTATAACAAATGAATCCAAGTTTTTATGCTGAACAAAAATGCTTACATGCTACATAAACTTATGGCGTTTTGTAATTAGTAATTGTTTATTTATTTAAACCCTTCTTATCTAACTATTTCGTTATCTAATAATTTTTTGTATAAATAGTACGTTTACAGATGATAATAATAATGACCTGAGAGTGACACTTCTTTGTCATAAATATTCAAAATTACAATCAAAAAATGAATATGGTTAAAGAAACTGCAATATATTGAAATATAAATGTATATTCTGTTTCATTTATCTACACCTCATTATCTAAATGCCATATGATATATAATAAACAAATAATATCATACAGTAATTGGATTATTCCACTGCCATCTGTATAAACGATATATATGACAATGCAGTTTTCAGAATATCTGTAATAGTGCTTCGAGTTACATAAAAAAATTTTCCGGCAGTAAGTTGAAGAGGGATCTTCGTTCTTATCATAATAAATATGAAATCCTTCACTACAGAGGGCGACAGTTTATGCCACGTTGTACTATATATTGCCAAAACGATCGATTCACTTTGTTTTCGTAAAGCTTCACCGGCGTGCGTAAACAAGAAGGACTGCACAATATAGAACTGGACGATGATCATACTTTTTAATACACTTTTATGCCACGTTGTACTATATATTGCCAAAACGATCGATTCACTTTGTTTTCGTAAAGTTTCACCGGCGTGCGTAAACAAGAAGGACTGCACAATATAGAACTGAACGAAGACCATACTTTTTACTACACTAGTATAATCTTGATCCTTAATGGACATAATCACACCCGTTCCTGAAAAGGACATTTTCTTGTTTTTTTTTTCTGGATCATTTCTTGCTCTTAGATACAATCGATACTTTATTTTGGTATTACACATTTTTGGTACAATTCTTTCTTAACAGCACTTATCCGTTGTATCAAGCAATTTATTAGAAATATATGACGATTTTTGCAAGTTTCAACATTATTAATCAAATTTCTGTAAATCTATTTTCATAAAGTTTAATATTTATAATATAACACTTAGTAAAGTAAAAACGATAAAAAGTTTTATTAGTTATAAAGAAAATGAATTGCCAATTGCAACACATAAATACCTGAAATCGCAATGGAAATAGTAGTTATTGATAAACGAAATAAGACATTGAGATTGAAGGTGTCTTCGATATTTCTGGCCAGTATTATCAGTTTGTAATGTCTTCTGATCCAAGATCCCAATATGCTACGATAATGATTCCTTTCGTTGGTACTTTTACCAACGAGTTCAATAAAGCGAATTCTTAGGAGTTCTAATTGACCACAGAGGTGCATAGTAATAGCAAAGAAGAAGCAATCGCTTGAACACTCAGCCATATAGAGTATGAAAGTCTGAAATATTTGCGTGAGAAAAAGTACTTTGTATGTAGAATATGAAATCCTTCCGAATAGACATGTTGACGGAATAACAAAATTCCATAAAACTTCTGTGTTATTGCCAATAATTACGACCTATTAAAATATTTCAAGATGTGTTATACAATTTTACATTTATAAAAGACAAACGACAAATGTATATTAAACGTATAATAAACGTATAACAAATTAAAATGCGATATTTATAAGAAATGTTTATATCAGTAATACAATAATAACTTTTTCAGAATTTTATTCTTTATTAATTAATTTAATTTTTTAATATTTTATTTATGATAATCATAGTATTCCCTACTGGTACAGATTTATATAAACTTTTTTTTATTACAATCCTTATATTATGTAATATGGTGACAATATGGTATAAAGTAATTAAGATAACTTATATCAGTATATATATATCACAAATAAAACGTCACCTGTTGTCTATTTGCAAAAAAAACAGTGGAGAAATATACGACAGCGGCCATAAATCCAACCATTAATTGAGACACAGTGATCACTCGACCTATTCGTGCATATCCCGTCATTATTAAATGAGACTGCTTCTCTGTTGACGAGGTCGACCAATCGTCAATCGCAGATGTTACGTTGACAGCAATCTTTTTCATGTAAATGCGCGAGAAAACGATATTTATCCACGAGTGTAAATAGGCCTCCATTATAAGAAATACCTCTAGAGTGTCTTTGGTATCACCGCAGTTTATGAAAAGTTCTATCAGCAAGCAGATCAATGTGCGAGACTATATGATAACAAAGGTTCAACCATTTTATAGATAAACATGAATTAGATTGTACATAATTGTTGATAATAGAAATAAATTTAATTTAGGTTAGACATCCATTAATTAATTTTTTTAAA